ATATTCAGCTGTGTATTGCTGTCGGTACAGAATACACATGCTCCACAGGTCCTGTCTAGAACCTTTGATGCCCTTTCCAGAGTTGACGTTTTTGCATATAAAAAGTTATTATTTGGACAGCTTTTCATTCCACAGGCGCCAAACAGTGACAGTAAACTGAACATGGTTTATTCTGACTATTATTGTAATTCATGTGATATATATGAAAATGTGTTGGACAAAAACATAAGCTTTTTTTTTTTTTTTTGTTTTACTTGTCGTGTTTGACAGGTTGCTAACCTGGAAAATAAAATGGTTTCTCTTTGAAACTGTGATCCCTTGTCAGTCAGAGGCCGCTGAGAGCCCTTGGTGACAGCCAGATTTCATAATGGTTTTCATAATAGGCATGTAATTTCACTTCATATTGTGCCCGTCAAAGGTCTCTCTACAGTTCGGTTCTTTTAGGCAAGGCAAGGCAAGGCAAGTTTATTTATATAGCACAATTCATACACAAGGCAATTCAAAGTGCTGAACAAAATAAGAAAGCATTAAAATCATAAATAATCACAGAACATTAAAAAGAAAGATACAAATATAAAATCCCTCAGTTGTATGCACAGCTAAACAGAACTGTCTTTAACCTGGTTTTAAACATTGTCAGAGAGGAGGCCTGTCTCACATCTTCAGGAAGACTGTTCCAGATTTTAGCAGCATGAATCTGAAAAGCAGCCTCCCCATGTTTAGTTCTGACTCTGGGCACTAACAGGAGTCCAGTCCCTGTGCTCCTCAGAGTCCGGGCTGGTTCATATGGGACTAACATGTCACTAATATATTTTGGTGCGAGGCTATGGAGAGACTTGTACACAAGCAGAGCTGTTTTAAAGTCTATTCTCTGAGCCACAGGAAGCCAGTGCAGAGACCTGAGGACTGGACTAATGTGGTCGTACTTCCTGGTTCTTGTCAGGACTCGAGCTGCTGCATTTTGAATGTACTGCAGCTGTTTTACAGCCTGTTTGGACAGACCTGTGAGCAGGCCATTGCAGTAGTCTAACCTACTGGAGACAAATGCATGGATAAGAATCTCCAAGTCTGCTTTAGACACTATGTTTTTGATCCTGGCAATGTTTTTTAGATGGACATTCACTTAGACAATGTACGAACAGAAGTACGAAATGTAACAAATGGATGATTACATTCAATGTGAGACTCATGGAGTATATTCTATCTGTGTTTTAGCGTCTTTCATAACGAGCCTTAACTTTACTCAGTGATTATTGAAGTGAAAATTGTATCTCGAGGCAAGTGCTTTGTTCTGCTTGCATAAAAGCCAGATCAATACAATGAAACAAAGTAAAAGAATTCTTGCCGGTTGAAAAACTTTCACTGCTCTTCGCTGGTTAAAGTGGAATTCTTACATGTTACACCTTATAATACAATTGTGATTGGCTTTTGATAATATGCATGTTAATAGCTAAAATCTAAGAAATGAAAAGAAAAATGGGAAAATGTGTTGAAAATTACAGGACGTGGATGTAGTAGTGTTCTAGACCTGACCATTGTAAAGTTTATGCATAATTTAGTCATGTCTATGTAATTCAAACGCATTTAGGTCCAGTTTATCAAATTGTTGCTTGGTTATCATCTTAAGTGTAGTATCTTCAATCCCTCAGAGGAAGTAAAAATATCCATACAAAAATATGGACACTCAAAGATACTTCTCATGTGTTTTACAGTACTCCATCCATCCATCGTCTTCCCCTTAATCCATTTCTGGGTCTGCAATCTTGTGATCTCATTTGTCCTGTTACTTAGCTACTTCTAAATTCTCAGTTTGGAAGTCTGTTATTTTTTTATTATTATTTTTTTTTTTATAGATGGACGAACACTCCCTGCTTTGCGAAATAGGCATTAGGTAACCGGCCCCTGCTTCATGGGGTTGGTGCTTAAAAAGAATATGTGCAATTAGTGAGGCTGGAGCTGGGTAAAAACACACAGAACAGCATGGGAAACCATAAATAAAATAACTGGCAGAGGGGCCAACAAAGACAGTGAAGTAGTACTACAAATTGAAAGCCAGTTGGTGAAAGATCCAGCCACTGTGGCAATGGAATTTAATAACTTTTTTAAAGACTCAGTCTCTGAAATTTCGCAACTTTTTACATTACATGAAAATGTCACCTATCCGGTGAATGAGTCCTTACCTATTTTCACAATAGCAGAAATTAATGAGACTGAAGTAGCATCAATTATAAAAGGTTTGAAAAACTCTAAAGCAAAGGACGTCTATGGGATAGATGCCAATTTTATAAAGGCTCATAAAGATATTTTAGTGTGTCCAATCACTCGTATGATAAATATATCAATTAGACATTCTATTGTACCAACAGCTTGGAAAGTTGCCACAATTACTCCAATCTTTAAGTCAGGGAATAAGAATAATGTAAATAATTACCGGCCAATTAGCATTTTGCCCATTATTTCAAAAATTATTGAAAAATGGGTTGCTAAACAATTGATTGAACTCATTTAGACAAGGGTCATACTCCTCTGCATCCCATGCAGTTTGGTTTTCGTGCCAAATACTCAACAGAAAGTGCGATAAATCTGTTTTTAGAAAAAGTGAAACATGGTTTAGATTATTGTCCTGTTGTTGGAGCTGTTTTTCTTGATTTAAAGCGAGCATTTGATACAGTTGACCACCAAATTTTATTATCTAGACTAACAAAGTTTAATTTCTCAGAACAAGCCGTAACTTGGATGAAGTCATACCTGTCAACTCGAACTCATTGTGTGACAGTCAGTGGTATCAAATCTACGTTTCTAAACTGTCAGGTTGGAGTTCCACAGGGTTCCATACTTGGACCCATACTGTTTTCATTATATATTAATGACTTACCAAATATTTGTCCAAATATTTGTCCACTTGTCTTTTTATGTTTACTTAAATTCTAATGTTTGATGATTTATGCATGATGTTATATGGGTTGTGAGGCGCTTTGCGTTGCCTTGTGTAGGAAAGGCGCTCTATAAATAAACGTTGATTGATTGATTGATTTCCATACCCAGCTTTATGCAGATGATGCAGTCATTTTTACCAATGCAAAATCTAATGCCGAAGTCTCCGAAAAATTGACTTCAGCAATGTGTTGCATTGATGAGTGGCTCAGTAAGTCTTGTCTTTTACTGAATTCAAAGAAAACTGTGTGTATGTTTTTCTCCAAACGCCCAACAGCAGGAATAAGCTCAAATGTATTTATAAAAGGTGAGGAGCTACAGATTGTGGACAAGTTTAAATATCTTGGTGTTATCTTAGACTCAACGTTATCTTTTAAAAATCATGTTAAGCATATGTGTAAAATTGTAAATTTTAATCTTCGTAATTTTAGACAAATCCGAACATTACTGCCAGAAAATGCAGCTAAAATGTTTCTTCATTGTATGATCTTTTCACATATTGAATATTGCATTACTAACTGGTCACTGACGAGTCTGACTACTTTAAAACCAATTGAGTCGCTATATAAAAAAGCTTTAAAAATATTTGATAAAAAACCATATTCATTTCATCATTGCTTAATACTTGAAAAATATAATATTCTAAACTTTGAAAATTTTAGAACATTTAAAATGGCTTGTTCAGTTTATAAGATTTTGCATGGACTCTCTCCACCATCCTTGAATGAATTCATTAAGTTCATATCCAGTACAAGTGGTAGAGTGACCAGAGCCACCACCAGAGGTGACTGTGTGGTTCCTTATAGACGCACAGCGTTTAGTCAACAGGTGCTGTCAGTGAAAGGGACCACGGTATGGAACAGCATCCCAGCAGAAATTCGAGACTGTACTACATTCATAGTATTTAAAACTAAACTTAAAGGTTGGCTGAAGGGGAATCAGACATGTAACCACTGACCAGTATCTTTGTTTTATGTCTCCAGTTTAATTGTGTGGATGATTTGTGTGATGATCTTTTGTCTTTTAAATGTCGTATATTAGTCTTTGTACTTTCTTGATCTGCCAGGGACTACAGATGGAAAGTAGCCATTGGCTAATTCTGGCATATTTACATTTACATGTTCATTAATATGCATTGTCCCTTTAAATAAATAAATAAATAAAAAGCACTGCGCTGCTAATGAGGTTGGCCTGGACTCCCAAATATCATCTTCTGGACTAATGGATAACCAGACATGGACATACGAGGCATTTCCACTTAGCAAAGGAACACAGCTGCTTTGGCTGCAGGTTTGGGCCACTACATCTGAAACCATCTTTTATTGTCTTAAACTTACTGTGTCCAAGTCATTTCCCTTGTGGATCACTACATTTTGTCTCTGTATGGAATGTACAAGTGTCTAGTGCTGAAGGAACTGCACTTGGGATGTCATTTAAGGAACTTTGGTTTCCTACTCCAAGGTTTTCTGGGGAAGCGGTACAAAATATACATACTATCTATACCACTTTTACACAACACAGTTAATCATTTGTGATATTGTACATGGCAAGAATTTCTTAATCATTCAAATGCACTGTGTATATTATATAATTATAAACATTATTTGTGAATCAATTTTTAACAAGATTGGGAGTACATTGTCTTTGTCATTTTATATTTTTGATTGTGAAATAAGCAGGAAATGTACAGATCCATCTAGAGGTGGATCTGTACATAAATCTAATAATGGTTTTCTGATCGTATCTGATATGGTGACATTTTTTGAAAACATAATCCCAAAAATAATTTGGAGGAAATAATTGCTGGCTTTGTGAATTCATAGTTAAAATATTCACCAGTTTGAAAACAGATTGAGACAGAATATGCATAAGGAGGTGTTTTTGTCGATTTGTGCCAGACGTTTCTGATCATAGCATGGATGAAGCTAAATCCATGCTATGATCAGTGTGAGTTTTTGAAGAGGGAAAAATGTTGGCTAAAAGCTAAAATGTTGTTATTGTTTATTTCATGATATGTCTACGTGGCCAAGTTCAGAGCCCAGTGCTTCTCCCACGAGGCGACTCACCGGTGGGTCCTGGTCTTCTGCAAACACTGTGGTGATCACTGTGCCCTTCTCTGCGTTTGGAGCCACCATTCCCATGTACAAGTCCTGGCTGAAGATCGGTGAGAAGTCGTTCATGTCCTACAACAGGAAGAGGAAGCAGAATACACTATAATCAGAACAGCGAGAGTGCAGCCCAATGCTTTACAGAGAGGATTTGTGCAAGTAAAATTGGTTATTTATTTATGTCTTTTTAAATGTTTTTTTAAAGCAATTTGTTGCCTCAATGACTTTGAGAACCTTTTGGTGGTGGTGGTGAACCCCAGGTCTAGTGCTACTCTGTAACTGTCTCGATTATGAAACAATAGCTGTCTGTAGGTCTTGTCTACAGGAGTATGTGTTTCGTCTTTTACAGTGTGGACCAACTAGTGTCTGAATTAATGAGATGATCATAATAATACAGCGAGGGTAGCAGTGGTAGAAGGCGCTCCACCAATTAAGATTAAGATTAAGAGATCTTTTATTTGTCCCACAGTGGGGAAATTTCAGTGTTGCATCACAAGTAATAGAACAGTAGGAAAGAAGAGCACACAGCACACGTTACCTGAACAGTAGCTGTCCTAATTAAAATAAAACAAATCTCTAACTCTAGCATCTATAATAAGTATAAATACTCTATTTGGAAAATAATAATAAATTAAATTTAACATTATATACATATCGCCCATATGTCAAAACACTTCTGCAGTGAAACAACTTGTTGGACAGTTCTCGCGCTGTAGAGACAACCAAAGGAAATCTTTATTGACTAAACAAAAACCTAGCTGATGAATTAGTTGACAAAAACGGCTGGCAAATGCTTGATATATGATTACATATTTACAAACTGTTTCTGAACAAAATCACAATGAATATTCATAAATAAAGTGTTTGATCTGGATTTGTAATCAAAGAAAGTACCTAAACCTTCAGCCGTTTTGCTTCCTGTCAACGACTTTTTTCAGTTTTCTGTTTTTCAAATCAGTAATTTCCCCTTTCTCAGTCCATTTCTAAGTCAAGGGGGTGGCAATTATAGCACCAGTCTCTCACTGCGCCTTGGTGTTTTAGCAGGGGTTTCAGCCAGAGTGGGGTGTCTTTCCCAAGGACACAACGGCAGTAGACCTCAGTGGGAGTCTACAACCCATAAACCCATTAAGTTCAAGACCAAAATGAAATGAAATGAAATGAAATGAAATGATTGAAATACAATAATTAGTTGACCAATGATAACAACTAAGGAACCATTTAATCGACTAAACAACTAAAGATCAACAGTTCAAGACATTTATTTAAACCCTTGACAATAAAACAATACCCCAGACCTCCATATTGTGTTAAACCTTTTCATTTTCTGTGGATATTGTAAACGATTTGTCCATTCAATCATTTTAATACATTCACATCCTGCACCATGTTTTTGTTTTCTGTTTTTGTGTTTCGAGCAGCTTCCACCTCCCTGAAGTGAGCCGTGCAATGTTCATTTACAACCAAATCCATTATTATTTTTTGTCTGTCCGTGTACAATGAATTTATACATCGGCAAGGCTACATATAAATGAGCTCAATCTCCTCCAGCGCTTTGACATGTGTGAAGACGCCCACAGAGTAATATTGGAGCACAGTACGTTTTGAAACCAATGCTTTTTTTGATTTCAGTCTCTGCTTTAGACATAACCGAGTGGACTGAAACAGTTCTAACAGTTTATGCTGCAGCTGTGAATCTGCCTGCTGCTTTTTGGCACTAAATTCATAGACCAAGATTTCATATAAAAATTCAAATACATGGTCAGACTTGCAATAGCATTAATAAATATTGGATAAATATGCAGTTTTTGTCCCTATGATAAAAGCCAAAATGGTGAAATGTGAGCTTACTGAGGCTTTTTTCAAATTATAAAATAGTACCTTGGATTCAGTTCCACAAAATAGCTTTGCTTTTAATTCATGTACAGTCTGGTGGTCCATTGAAAACATCCAAACCACATTTTTCACTGTTCACTAATGACTATATTAGATCTAAACTTCCAGTCAAAATATCTGTGACAGGAATTTGGAACGACTCAAAGACAAAATAATATTTAATCGGTTACTGCATGAAATTTAACCTAGATTCTGCAGACATGTTGAAGGTTTGGAATGATATTCATTGGTATATGCTTGCTGGAGCATGAAATACAAATTTGGATTTAGGCCGCGGCAGAATAGTGTAAACGGGGAAATAAAAAAAAAATACTGTTGAGGTCTTGACTTTGGTGGTGTTAGCTCAAGGCATGGTATAAAGAAGCTGGTCTAGATGTTGAGGAGGTAATGGGGAGGAGGAGGGTTGTGGCGTTATGTAAAAGTAATGAACTGATGTTTGAATGCAGCCAGGTGAGAGATGAGGGCTGATACAAGTAGCAGTGGGAGGAGACTGGAATGAGCAGGTGAAATGTACATTGTGTCAAGTCCGAAGTTCCGTTGGGCATCAATAACTTTTGAATGTTTTCCAGATTATACACTGAAATTGGAATTTTTCACACAAAGAGGTGTAAAACATTCTACATTGTCTTTGGCCCATCGACATCAGGCCAGCCTGCATTGCATTTCAATTCCAATAACCTTTTGTGGATTCATTTTATTAAAGCCATTCAAGCAAACACTATTAGCAAACATAATGGGTCATAAACCAAATGAATATCTGATCGATGACTCATTGGAGACATTGGGGCTAATACTCGGTGCATTGTGGCTGAGCTTAGTTCCAGCGGCACCAGGAGCTAATTATGATTGCAGGGCTGGCCTCGGGCTGCAGCTCAAACACGGCTCACACTGGCTCCTTTCTACTGTCTACACACTGCATCAAAGCCACAGCCGCGATACACAGGGCCGGCCCTAGGTCATCAGGCTCCCCAGGCGAAAATATATAATGGCGCCCCTTGCACACTTGTAAAGGGCATCACAGTGAACAAGTATGCTCTGAATGTAGTCACAAATCTTTAAAATGTGCATTTTGGCGGCTCATTCCCACGGCTTCTCTTTCCACTTTTACGTGAGAAACATGCCTAAAGGAGCCACCTGCTGTTGATCAGTGTTAGGCAAGTTACTTCAAAAATGTAATACATTATGTTTCACTTATTACTGTTATTTCAAAATAATGTATTACACTTCAATATTACTGTATCTGAATTGTAATGCATTACACTACTACTGCATTACTTTTAAGTTACTTTCTCCAAATATACGTATATAGTGAAAAAATTAGGATAGGATAGGACTCATCTCAAGTTCAATTTTTATATATTAATTTCAGTCTAATAATTGAAGGGGTTGTTAAACTTGGTGTAAACTGGTTAATCCTAAACAGGTTCAGTCCTGGCTCAGTCCTGGCTCAGTCCTGGCTCAGTCCTGGCTCAGTCCTGGCTCAGTCCTGGCTCAGTCCTGGCTCAGTCCTGGTTGTCATGGCCCAGTCCTAGTTCAGTCCTGGCTCAGTCTGGCTCAGTCCTGGTTCACAGCAGCTCACTGCTTTATTTACTAAACATGATGGAAGTGCATCATTCTTGCCTCTGTTTAAAACGCGCCGCTCATCACGCACGTATTTTACGCCCGAGGAAGAGAGTCTGTAGAGAGTCATAACTCTGTGAAAACTGACTCGTTTTGGACGATTTAAAGATCAAATCAGAGCTTAGACTCTCATCTGTCCATATGCTGCATGTCTCTGTTCATACCTCTACTTTGAGCCCGTTTTTTATTCTCTTCTTTTCTTTGGCGTTTGGCTGCACCTGACGTCTTGGAGTGCCTTTTCAAAAACACGTCCACCTTTCTTTCACACTTTCTGGGATGTGCAAGGCTGCCCCTCCCCTACCTACTCACCTTGGCGTGACAAAAGTGCGGCCTACAGCAGCATGATGACAATTTTGATTAAGTTTATAGTATACATAAACTGTTTTTTTTTCTCAATCTTACGTGATGGGAAACACTTAGCAGAATAATAAAAAAGCAAACTTTTTTTTTTAAGATTGCAATTTTGCCAACTAATGGGCCAAACATTCTGCTCTACTGGAGCTATCCAAAATGGCCGCGACTGGTCCCGCCCACAAGAAAATTGTGAAAAAACGCAACTGTGCATGCGTCAGCTGGCGAGAGCTCCATTCATTTGAACGAGAGACTTCAAAAATTCACAGCGAGTAAACCAGAGTGGTCCAAAAAAATCCACCCCCCTCAGCATTGACACACATGTGGAACGGAGCTTTGGGCCAAGAGCCAACTTTTGGACCATCCTATAAAGACGTTTTTGAGAGGTCACCTAATGCTATATGTTAGCATTGGCTAATTTTTTTTCCGGGTCCACCCCCATCGGCCCGGGGTGGTATTGCAAGCATGTCAGCGCACGTCATTTTGGCCACTTTTGAGCCGGGACCCGCCCCCACTGGACACAACTGGAGGTCAATTTCAGAAAGTGTGATTCTAATATGTGTCTTTTGTTTATTTTAATCGTATAGCTGGGATAAGGGAAACAGAACTAAAGGCAACTGAAACAATATAGCAAACATTTAACATTTAAGCTAGGGTACCTCACTTTCAAACCACAAAAAAATTGAACATTTGAAAATGTATGTCACTAGTTCCTTGCCCTGGTTTTTCCCATGCACTTATTTATTTTTTGGCCTCTGTCACATTTTTAGATCAGATTTTTCAGACAGAAAAACTGAAAAAAGAGGAACACCCTCACTCATTCATCAGGTATGTGCTCAAAGTGTCAAACAGTGACTCACAGTGCTCTCTCTTACAAGTGTACAAAAATAACATGTTATCTAATGAGGACAGTATGTTTTGGTCTTTAACAAGACTCTTCATGTTGGGTAACTCATTATGAATATTCTCAGAATGTACTACAATATTAGCCTAACTCTTGCTAGACTCTTGTAGTTCCACCATGCTCCACCAGAGGCGTTTGGCTGAACACAAGGGTCTGGGATTGACGCCAATGCAAACTCCTTTAGGAGATCATAAATTATCAGCCAATCAGGAATAGCCGGTGTTTGCCCCGCCTGTTTGCTTTGGCTGCCGTGTGTCCACGGCAGCCAAAGCAAAACTAAGATGGCAGACATAAAGTTAGTGAATTC